TGGACCACGTGCTTCTTGTCAATCCACTCGAGTGACTTTCAAGGCCATCTTAGTAACTGCTGTGAAAACCAGTTACATTCCTCTATTCTATGGAAAACAACCTCCCGTCATTTGAAATTTGATTGGTTAATTTACCAGTCGGTAGCATGTCTTCAAAGTCTCTCATCCATTTCGATAACGACTTTAACGAGTGAGCACCTTAGCAACTGCTGAGATAACCAATTATGTTTCTATACTTTATGAAAGACTACATTACTAGCCAGATCACCGAAACCTGATTGAATAATACAGCCGTTGCCAGGGTGGCCTTTGACTGATTTTTGAGCGACTTTAAAGGTCGCTATAGCAACGATCGTTTTGGCTGGCAAGGCAGATTTCCACAGAATTCTGATTGGTCATCTCAGTAGTTGCTATGGTGGCCTTTAAAGCCACTTCGATTATAAGAAGAACTATAAAGCCCACTGTAGCAGCTGCTGAGGTTACCAATCAGGTTCCGGTAATTTGTGAGACTATAGATCTTCGTAAAACAGAGGAATGTAATTGGTGGTTATCTCACTAGTTTTTAGAGTTGTCTTTAAATTCGTTCATTCCGATAGGTGACTTTACAGACCACCCTAGCAACGACTGAGGTAGCCAATCAAGTTTCTCTATTTCACCTTGATAGGTAGTTTTTTAACGAAATATGGAACCCTAATTGGTTGTCTAAATAGTTGGTAGGGTGGTCGACTGGGTCACTTCTGATACTGTCCACATATATCTTAGATGGTTTGAATCATCTGTTTGTTGTAGTATAATTGAATTTCGTGTTAGCAACGCACTGCATTTCGCTAATAATACAATGAAACAACCGATTTTATGCTTACAAGCACTACACAACATTTGATTCCGTTCAATGCGCAAAATACTTTGATACTATAAATCATATAGACTTAGGAGAGAAATCAATCGAAAGCTTTTTAGCTGAGCTATACAATAATGTTATGAACGACAGCATAGGTATAATAGCTATAGCGATAAATAAAATAATACGACTGATAATACATTCAATATAAGTTTTCTCCATTATTGTGTATATGGATTGACACTGGTATACAACATTATCGTATATGAAGCTATCAGATATCGGTCAGTAGAATTATGATCAGACAATATCTCATATGGACCTTTTAAAATGTCAGCTAGATACTGATAGCTAGTCACTTGATTTCTACTGTGCTGAATAACAGGTAATGAGTATCAGTGAATCCAGAAGTGAATATCGAATTGTAAGTGGTTCTTTCCCGTTGTAGAGTGTTAAGACAGGCAAGTGTTATGCTGAAAATGTAATTCTGTATAGATGATGTAATATCACCACTTCACATATGATGACGAAATATTTTTCGAATACTGATGTATGCAGGGAGGCCAATGGGAGGAGGATAGCACGACCAGTGATTCTCACTAATTTCTCCATTGATAGTCATATTTGTTAATGTTAAATCATGCCTGACCAGGATACGTAGATGTTTTGTCGTTTGCATTTCTTCGTACTGAAGAGTTTCCACTCGTTACTGACGAAAAAATCTATTAATTCTGGGTTTTCTGTACATTTTCGCTTTCTCTGTTTTCCTCCTCTTATCTATTCATGTTATGCAATTGTGATACATCTATGAACTTGAATAAAAATCGTAATATTTCTAACGACTTACATTTTGTCTAATGAATGTATGACATGAATGTAACCGGTGTTTGTTACTGTACAGTTTTGATACAGATAGACCTCAACCTAAGTTACAGGAGAGTTAGTAAGAAGCATGCAGGATATTCACCAGGAATGACAGTAATAACTTAAGTCTTACTTCAGAGATGACTGACATGGGTTGGAATCATCGAGGAAGCTCTAGCTTCCTTATTTTTGAAGATATGCCTTGCTAATGAGCGCTAAGATGATGGGAGCGTAGGTCGAGGACTGCTTCGTACAGACTGACTCCCACCAAGGACTAAAGATGTTACCCAGTGGTGACCAACTCACAGAAGTCTGACTACCTTGAATATTAATGTATAGGTTATTCCAACCATCAGAGTAGAAATAAAGAAAATACAGCACAGTAATCTCCAGAATGATATTGAACAATCTGAGTGTTAAACCAGTATCGGTGATGACAATTTGATCAAATGAAGGAAGATATGAGGAACCTCATCAGTCCAGTGTCCAAGTTAATTACGTCTATTGACTAAGCGATACTGTCAGTAGATTACAAGCAAAGCAATGCTAAAATCCTCTTCAACAATAACACTTTCCAAAGGGAAAAACCTTTAAATTCTTCTATACAATCACAGGGAAAATTCAGTGTAAACTAACAACTACCAAAATAGTCTATAAAACAGTACAGAAAAGAAGGGAGAGCTTGATCCATTAGCGAACAGTGAGCGAATAACCCGAACTACTGCATATACAAAATCAGTCAAATTGGCAACAGAAACCAGTCAGAGAAGCACAACAGATCTGAAAGGCATAAGAGAAAATGTCATTCGAAGAGAAGTGAGTGGATGGAGAGTGCGGTTCTGTTATGAAAACAGCTCATATGTATAAAATTTATTGTGCAAAGCTGTTACGATTGAATTTACACAATAGCTGTTATAGTTTAGGAACTGCTACGGTAACTAACGATGCATGGATATCGGTTGTCAGCCACCAACACTCAACAAATTTCTAGTTGATCCTCGGCCCGACTAATTAATGGAGAAGACACAATGAACGTGTAGAAACGTGTATTGGGGTCGAAAGACTGAAGACCGAAAGCAAAGGAAAATACAGCTAATATGTAGATAGTTCTCTGTTTAGAATCATCTTGTTGATTGGCTGATCCACCATCAGTCTAACTGTAGAAGTGATAACATAAAGTACATTTTAATTAGTCCCTCTCCAGACTAGTCTCTTCTCTCTATCCCCATCCAACCAGCAGTACACGAGTTTTAACCCCACTCTGTCTGATGAGGTTTGGGCAGCCAGCTAACATGGTTAGCCGTCAAACAATGGACGTGGCTGATTACCTGGTTACTGAGAGAGCATTTCAATTCTCTGTTGAAAGCTATTCTTGGCCAAGTGTTTGTGATGAACTCAGTTACTCCTAAAATACCATAAAATTGCATGAAAATATTCACGTGGTGAGAGCTCAGAAGAGCACCTGCCACCCTAATCTGCCTGCATACTCCATGAATTTTATAATGCTTTCCCATCTGGTACTTTATGCACACGATCAAATTAGCTCTTTCGTTGTCTCGTAATGTAAGCATCAATTTCTAGTCGTCAAGATGTAAAGCTTGCCAATAGTTTCATCTTTCAGTTCCCGTCTGCAGGTTTAATGAAGGTCATCTAATGTAACAGATCTCACAGTCACTTACACCAGTTTCGCCCTCACGTATTCTGTACTACAAGTCTTGCTCTGTCAACAGATAATAGCTGAATTAAAACACAATTAATAACACTGGGAGAACTATAGAAGCATGGATAATGTGGCAATAAATCCGCATGAGACATTACTTTCGCTAGTCCATGATCAGTAATATTTCCACAAGCACCAACTTCTAAATTCCATCCCATGTACCGTAGCAGGAGACGATCTATTACATAACGTATCCCAACGATTAATTGGTTTACAAGCCTAATGGCCAGGAACGCTTTGAAATTTCGTCCTAAATATATACTTGCGTAGATGTCTTACTGCCGAACGTACAACCAACGCTTATATTTGGGTTTGAAAATATTCCTGTTACACTCATTGGTCAGTGCAGAGTAACCCAATTTCATATTGTCTAGTCTTGAGTACTGACCAAATTTTATCGACTATTTATGCAATGTGGCTATCAAGCTGGGAGGCTGACCATCGTGTTGCATTTTGATAGATGTAAACTGGCTGAAAGTAATCGGTAAGAGGCCCTTCCCTCTGGCAGGGCAGTAACAAGTACCTGAAATTCGACCTTCTTCTTGTTTCTTATTGGCTGATAGATTGGGTCAGTGTCTGTTGATTGCTGACTGCCAAGCATCTAAAAATTCTCTGGCATTCTTTGTATTTCCTCCATCCAGGATTTTCTTACTTTTGCAGTCAAATTCAGGTCTCGGAAAATGTATCTCCAGCGTCTCTCCTTATGCCTAAAGTTAGTGCTGGTCAGAAACAAGTGGTCATCGTGTCCGTAATTATCCACGTGCATTGGAATGAGAAATGATAGACGACAGAAAGGTCAGAGGTCAAGCAGAGGAACAGCCAACAGGAAAGTCGATACAATCAATGACACAACAACCGAAGGAAACAACCAATCACAGACCACATCGTCAGAGCTAGCTACTAAATCACTCACGGAGAGATATTGACAGCTCACTCCATACTGAAGTTAGTGCTGATGATGTCGTCTAGCAAGGCGATGAAAGCTTCACGATTAAACAACCCAGCTCAGAGAACACAATACAACCAAGGCCATCCACCTGAGCTACAAATATTCTCCATCAGATTGTTTATTCCCATACACAACTCTGTCTACTTTGATATCACTCGTTTTCTATCTAACTGTTCTTTGTGTGTTTCTGTGAAGTGTCGTAGATTGAACTAATGCACTTGTTTACCAGGTGATTCTATCTACATTAATTTTGTAAGTCATAGGGAGCAAGAACATAAAATATTGATTTCAATTCAACTAACAATTATTTAGTTTTAGTTCTGATAATAATCAAACTTTTGTGGATCCTATGAGTATTAGGAGAGCATCCCCACTGTGGCTATTGAACATGTCTTGGTTAACTTCATTAAAACGAATGATTTGTTCAAAAATTAGAAGGATTAAAGAGAAAAAAACACAGAAGGAAAAAAAATATCACATACATTGTTATCTCATTGTGGACAGGGTAGAAAAACAGAAGAAAAGAAATGTCATTAAGATGGAGAGAAGGAAATCACCCTCGGAAGTATTAACCAACTTATAGGATATTTGAAAAGCATTAAACTGTTCAATTATCAATTGATGGACTACATTACACTTTTTACTGTTTTTACCCTTTCTCTATGATGTAATAAACATACTCTAGCAAAATCTCTAGCCAATCTAGCATCACGAACACTAGCTGGTATATCTGATATAAGAAAGTGTATACACAATGCAATAAAAATGAGACAATGTTCAAATATAAGAAAAATTGTGCCCGTTGAAAGTGTAGTTAATATTCCTAATTGATCAATTTCAGATATTATAAGACCAGCATTTGTTAATACAGATAACCAAGCTTGTATACCTAACAATAATAACCAAATTGATTGTCCTCTGAGTAATAGATTCGATTTCGGACATTGTGTTACCCAGAATAGTTTAAAAACATCAAAATGTACTTCAAAAAATGTGCATAAAATTGCCAAAATTGTAATAAACAATGGTGATGAATAAGCAAAGAGGACAAGATAACCATGTTGTAATACCATTTCTAAATAATCATCAAATGATTCATAGACATCTGCGCATAATTCACGTGCAACACGCATCTGTTGATAGGCTGATGAGGAGGCGTCATCAGTGGAACGTTTCAATGCACCAATTGATTGTTTCTCTTTCCATGCACGAAATCGATAGAGTAGATAGGGTATTATACATTCAAGTGTTAAACGTCTTACTGAGTCTGTAGCAAACATGGTCAATAGAAGAGAGCGTAGAGCAATACGATCAGCTAGAATAAAGCCTAAATACGCCAAACCTCCATACGCATCAACTAATTCGAATAAAAAACGTTTTATAATCAATGCACGTTCATATGCTTCATTGGTCTAAAAGATAACAGAATTAAGAACAAGAAAAAAGGAATGGAAATGGGAATAAAAGTTAGTGATTCATTTTCAGGTTGATATTCATTATGAACGGACATTAGTTAGAGGAACACTGGAAATCTGGGAGCATTGGATAGGTGTTTCATCCCAGTATAGGACCCTTCAGCAGTACACGCACACATGACCCCATTACTAGGACGAAACAGCTATCGAGTGCTCCCAGGTACTCAATGCTCCTCTTAACTGATATCAGTTCATGATAAATACAAATCTGAAATCAATATATCCCCACAAAACCTCCAAATTGATCCATTTTCGTTTGCACAGTTTGATATTCTAGGGATCTCATGATTTGATGGCCACTATTTCACTTTCATACTAAATAGTATATAAAGTGAAGGGAAATGAAAGACAACAACACGGTTAACGGTATCGAAATCAGCAAGGGAAATGAAGTTCTCCGAAGACTATCTCTTTCTGAGTAGATAAACCTAGCTTAACATCCTTTTTAACTAGGGTTATAGGCGTTCAAAATCAGATGATAAGATATTTGTTAGATACACAAACTCATAGAAGTGGGTCGGTTCAAGTTGTCACACTTTAAAGTAGTATACAAAGAACAACTGTGCAGCAAAAGGATGATATCAAAGTAGATAAAAGTATTAGGGAGAAGAAAGAACCTGAGAAATGAAGATTAGTGAAAATCTCCAAACTTTAGAAGACATTACTTAGTCTCCAAGCATTGATTTCCATCTTCTCCAGGACCCTAATCATGGTTCAAACCGACAGACACAGACGTCGACGACAGATGCCACATTTTAGTCTCGCCACTCTGTCATGTTTTAACTCACTTCTGCTTCGCCTAACATTTCATGTGGAGGTAGACGGTAGCTCGGCATTCGCAACACACACATATCAAAGCCATATCTCAGTCGGTAAAGGTTCACAACATCATCGACTGGCTTCCATTCCTTGCCAAACATCGACATTGTTCACACGATGACGCAATCACATGCGAGCAATATCGCAAATGCACGTACGGTCGGAAGCCTGTAACCTTTTTATAGCTTTCAGTGGTTACATCACACAGGACACAATGGTCTACAGCACAGTATACACACCCTCCCGTACGTAGTCAGATATCTCACCGGTGCTATAAATGACTGATATAACGTTTTTCTGAACAGATGAGTATACGTGAATACAATGAAGGATGTTTGCAGAGTGACTTCAAACATACGTCACTTATCGCACCGGGGGGATGTCTGACTACGTATGGGAGGGTGGGTATACTATTCTGTAGACCATTGTGTCCTGTGTGATGTAACCACTGAAAGCTATAAAAAGGTTACAGGCTTTCGACCGTACGTACTTTTGCGATATTGCCTGCATGTGATTGGATCACCATGTGAACAATACCTAAGTCTGGCAAGGAATGGAAGTCAGTCGATGATGTTGTGAACTTTTACCGACTGAGATATGGCTTTGACATGCATGTGCTGTGAATGCCAAGCCGCGAATGTATTTCCGAGTGATAACAACAACAGTTCAGTATTCCTTTAGCCTTCTAATTATATCAGAACAAGGAGGAAACTAAATTATCAAAAATCACTTTTGTCTTTTCTACCTCATCACTCAGAAGTTATGAGTTTCATTCCACTTAACATTCATTTACATATTTCACACTGTGAATACTAAAACCTTAAGACAAGCGTAAAAAGGTACTTACAATGCAGTGACTACTACAAATGAATATTGATCCTCATTATTAAGCATTACCTTGGCATAGAAACAGGGATTTAACATTAAGAACAATAAAAAAAATTTCATTTTAGTCTGTTTATTAGAAATATCACACAGTGAAGGGACAACATTATTTACTGGATAACGTTCCATACATAATTTATTGTCCATATTAATATCAGTTAACTAACAACACAACTTCGAGACAGAGTTTATATAGTCCTAATTTCCTCTCCCTCTTAATGATGACAAGGGCAGTAGATTTTTTGATATGTCTGAAACAGGTCCCACTTCAAAAATATGGTTTCGACATGTAGATGATATATTTACAGTACTGGGATTGGAATACATCAACAAATTCTCGACACATAAATTAATTAGTGAATGCAATCCAGTTTACCTGTGACTTGGGGAGTGACGAAGATGAGCTAGCAATGTTGGATTGCAAGATTAAACGAAAACAAGATAGGAAACCTTCTCATTCGATTCACCACTTAGACTTCAAATCATCTCAAGCCATATCAGTTAAAGTAGGCTTAGTTATATGCCTAAGTGATAGGGCAAAAACCTTACTACTAGGCCAGAAAATCTACGGCGAGAAACTGGATACGTCAAGAATACCTTGTGTCTTAGTCGTTAGCCACCTAAATGTACCAATAACTTCATAAGTAATCGAGAGAAAAGCATTTTCAGTAATAGTAGTAATACAGGTGTTATCAATAATAATTCAGCTACTAATGGCGATAATGGTGACAGGGTTGCGAAAGAATTCAAAGCCTCTGCTGTTACCATACAAGGAAGGCGCCTCAGAAGGATTACGAAGAATTGTCAATAAAACTAACCGGGATTAAAGTGGCATTTAAACCAACAAAAAACTCACTCAGAAACAAGCTTTGTGGGTTAAAAGATCCCATTGATCCAACTAAGCAAAATAATTTGGTTTACTGAATCCCTTGCAATGGTTGTGAGGTGAAATACATCGGTCAAAGTAGTCGACCAGGATTGATTGGAATATCAGAGTGCAAAACCTTAGCTAAATCAAGATAAGTAGATCCTAATAAGATAAGAGATTTAGGGGGGGGAAGGGAGGAGAGCTCGGCTATAGCTCTGCACTCAATTACACGCCATCACACAGTAGGGTGGGATAGAGCGACAGTGTTAAAAACTAACCTAGTCGGGTGGAGGGAGAGATTGATAACGGAATTTTTTCTATCGAATCGACACCAAATACGTGCAGTAATAGAAATGATTCTGCATCTGTTCCAGATATGTGGAAAATCCTTCTACTCTTATCATCACAAAGAAGGAGAGGAAATTAGGACTATATAAACTCTGTCTCGAAGTTGTGTTGTTAGTTAACTGATATTAATATGGACAATAAATTATGTATGGAACGTTATCCAGTAAATAATGTTGTCCCTTCACTGTGTGATATTTCTAATAAACAGACTAAAATGGGATTACAATCTACCACAATGCCCAAGCTTTACACCTATATTAACAACAACGAAATGAAAAAAGCTAGTCGTATAAGATGACCTAACACATTTAAAAAGCTAAGGCAATGGAAGTAATCAAGACGATGATAAGATCTCGAGGATTTCAGGGTGAAGATAAATAAGTCCCTTGTGCATGAGTGACCGCTTAATTTGAGTAGTGTTATATTCTGAGTTATTATTGAATCTATGTCTATTCACCCAATTAGTTCACCAGTACTTTAGTTTTTTGATGTTACCTAACCAGTCATGGTGAGTCGAGTGCTTGAAGTAGTGAGTTGTCATGAACATTTCGGTCGCCTAATTTACTGCGCAGTTGTTATGGATATATCTTTGTTGAAGTCACTTCCATGCCAAGATGCAGGCTACAGCTACGATAGCTGTTGACAAATATTTTTGTATCATATCACTAAAAGTCTTGAACTATCGATTTCTGCCACCCATGAATTATAACCAGGAAGCTTTTGTGGCTCCGACTAGTCATGATCTGTCATACACCTTACCTTTCTTCTAACCTAATCCTATTCTATTTCACTAACCCCCAAACATAGGAGTAGATGAAAATGCATGAGAGAGGCAATTTAGCATATTCAAGTGACAAAACCAAACAATTGACAAGCAAGTACACGAGAAGTCCTCGAGCATTTTCCAGCCCCTTGAACAACTATACGTCCTCTCCTATCATTAGTAGAACCGAATTGATAGGCCACTATTTCTATATGACTCAGTGGCCTTGTAGATAACACTCTGGCATTTGAAGTCATTGCTCCTGAGTTCGAGTCTTAATGTAGACAAAATCAATCACTGTAAGGAAGGTAGATTCAGTTGAAAAGCCCCAAAATAGGATGAAATGCACGTTCTTGATTCCATCGCTACTCACTAACCGTCAATAAGATTATATGTAGCTTGTTGTTTAGGAGGGCAAAGTGTACATTTTACAAGGCACTTACTTCATAGGTGTGTTCACACAACTCACCGGTCGATAATTTTGTTACAGAGGTGAAAAATATTTCGATAACATTCCATATTATCCTTCAAGGTATACGAAAATTCTGCATTTTTTCACTGTCTTCGGTCAAAAGCATTATGTAAGTGATATATTGTACACCTAGTAAGAAGATCATAGGTAAGGATAGCGATCTCTAGGAAGTAGGATGACGATGGGTCAAGGGTTCGAGTCACACATCACCTACCGAGGTTTCGGCAGCCAGGTAGTATCATCAATAGCCTTAACACAATAAGTGTAGCTCATCGCCAACTGCACGAATATGCATAAGGTTTCGGAGTGAATTTCCGAATTCATTTCGAGGATGAGGAAAGTGTTTCTTCAAGAAAACTTATGTATAGTAAGAAAAGCCGAATAACAATGGAGAGAAGGAATATATCTGTAAGAGACTGTTTATATGATATAGCACGCAGTATAATTTACTGGATAACGTTTCAGGCAGAATTTATTCCACATATACCAAAGGAATCACATAACCTTCAAAGGTCCTTAATATAGTCCAACAGTTCTTCACTAGTTTTTATTTAAAATGGTAATAAGATTTTCTAGATATCTGCAATATGTATGTTAGGTGGTGGGTTCAATGAACACAGATTCTGTGATCAATCTCTCCCTCCACCTAGCCGGCTATTTTGAATTTTAAAATTGTCACCTTATCCCACCTTCACCCCTATAGTGTGATCATGGGTCAGTGCATGCAGCACAGCGATAGTCAAGTTTCTCTCGAAAGCTGACCTCACCCTACGATGATTTTAAAGGCCGCCCTAGCAATTGCTCAACTAACCAATCAAATCTCAGAATTTCGACTGAGGAGGGGTGTTAATAGAATGGAAGAATGTAATGGGTTATCTAAGCAGTTACTAGGATGGCCTTTTAAGCGAGTGGTCATCCTATCTCATCTCCACCCCCCATAGTGTGATCATGAGTCACTGAATGCAGAGCGATAGTCGAATTTCTCTCTAAATCACTTATCTTAGTGGGGTTGACCATTGTATATTCCACTTAATTTTTCTGTTCTGCTTTTCTGACTGCTCCAGATCGGCTGCTTTGACCCATACACTTGACCTCACAATAGTTAGATTATTTTTCCTAATTGACTCTGCTGGATCTTTCAGCCAACGAGATTCTCTCTGAGCGAGTTTGTGGGTTTAAGTACCACCTTAATATAAACATTGTTAAGAATTCCACGTGGAATTTCCAATGTGGCCTATTTACACGGCAACACTACAGAGGATATGAATTCTCTCTTAGGCATGTTGAAATCACCACCAACATTGCCACTTTTTCTCTTATCAGTCCTTATAAACTTTTTATTAAATTCCATTCCGGAGGGTGGTTATTAATAAGTGTTGTCTCTTTGATGCCCACCATAATTTTAGGGTGGGTTGGAATAGCCAAAGTACCATTTTTCGTCCTGACTTAGTTGGCCCCACCTGACATGAGGGAAGTTATTCAACGATGGCATTGGATGGATGTCGCGCAATATACTCAACTAATAGGAGTAGGAACTAAGAACTATTGGATTCCGACCCAATGGTTAGATAGTAACGTACTGGCTACCAAAACTGAAGGCTCTAGGTGGGGTCACGGGTGCAAGCTGCTGAAGAGTCTTATACTAGGAAAAACAGCTCTTATCTGATCCCAGGTTGTCAATGTTTCTCCAACTAATGTCAGTTCATGAAGAATATCAACCTGATTTCTGGTTGAGCAAAGATTTTAATTAAGCTTTGAATTGTGACATTTGATTTTCAATAGTATAATGAAAACTTCAGTGAAAAAATTGACTTATGCGATACGCCTACAGACAATCGAATCAGAATGAGATAAAAAGCAAGAGAGGAAGTAGAAGGAGAAAGCGTACACATGCTGAACACAAGACAACTATTGAAGTAGATAGACAGACTCTATGAGAAAAAAGAGGTAGCAAAGACGAGACTTCCTTTAGGTGAGCGTAGATAAGACACAGGTAATGAATGAAAATACCCAACCAAAAACAAAAAAACCACCCATCACCATCCAAGGGAGAAATCTGAAGGAAGTTGTCTCTGTAACACACCTACCTAGGCAGCATCGTTTCAACTACAGGGGGTGGCACGGATGAGGATGTCAAAGCCTGGATCGGAAAAGCAAGACAGGTCTTCCTTCACTAATTTTAAATCAGTGTAGAGATCTACTGCACTCACCATAAACAACAAGATTCGCATTTTCAACACTAATTTAGTCAAGTCAGTGCTTTTATATATGGTTCACAGACTTGGCGCGTTGCAAAAAGTATTTTCAACAAACTACACACACATCATCATCATCATCAACAGCTGCCGCCTACGCTCACTCCATACTGAAGATCAGATGGATGGCCAGAATAATAAGAATAAGCAACAAGGAACTCTGGCTGACTGGCTGGCTGGCAACGAACCAACCAACCAACGACCTACCACCCAACATATATACAGAAGAAGAAAGTCGAGATGGATTCAATTGGATTGAATATACACTGAGAAGACCGATTGGGGACATCACGCGTCAGGTCAGGCCATGCACTCGAGTGGAAGCCAAATGGGAAACGCTGAGTTGGGCGTCCGAGGTGAGGGTGACATGGAGGAGATCGAGTGAGGAAGAAATGAAAGGTTGTGGGCAGTCGTGGAGTCAGGTTCAAAAGATTGGAGAGAAGAGAGTGAAATGGAGACGTGCTACTGAAGCCCTATGTTCCACTAGGAACCCAAGGGGACAAATAATAATAATAATAATAATGAGAGAGTGTTCATATCTACTATGAGTTCAATCTAAACCTTAGTTAACCAAGGTATTTCTTGAATAATCAACTTTTCTTATTGCTATTGATGCGTCACCTACTGTTAATAGTGATTCATTTCTTAGCCATTCATCTACCACCCGTATTGACAGCCTGCTTGATTATGAAACCATACTAAAATAAGTAAATTTAGAGAAAAGCTCGACTGTCATTCTGAGTGCACTGACTCATAATCACCCTATAAGGTGCGTGGGATAGGGTGACAATAATGTGGAGGAAGAGATTGATCACAGAATCTTTGTTCATTGAACCCACCACCTAACATAAATGTAACAGGAATAACTCATCATATATTGCAGATATCTAGAAAATCTTATTACCATTTTAAATAAAAACTAGTGAAGAACTGTTGGACTATATTAAAGGACTTTTGAAGGTTATGTGATTCCTTTGGTATATGTGGAATAAATTCTGCCTGAAACGTTATCCAGTAAATTATACTTGTCACTGTATGTTATAATCAAATAAACAATGTAATGTGAAAAGAATATATCTCCCAACTTAAACTTTCGCGATAAGATATTAGTCTTACCAATAGGGCATATTAAAAGGATTCACTGTCAACTTACGGCATGATTTTCCCATTCAGTTAAATGTTCAGCAATTATTCGAAAAATCATTTGATTCATAATGAAAATTATTAAAGAATGCAAAACTCCAGGAAGAAAAGGTAATATCCCATCACCGGTTGAATCAAATATTGCACCTGGTTCTGCAAACTGACTAACACATTCAATATGAAACCATGATGACTTCTCTGCAACAATAAAACCCTAAAGATAATGGATTTTAAAGTCGAAAAATTAAGAAATAAATGAATGAAGTATATCGTGAAATAAAGGCACTAACATTTCTAGAAAATCATGGTAAATGACATCACAATCAATATTTTTCGCCTCATACTAATCGACTATAGCCACTGCTCGAAGGTATTTCACAGAACTCAACTCGGTAGACTAAAGGATAAAGCTCTGATGTTTCATACGATGATTGTTGCGTTCAAGCCTCAATGGAAAAACCGTTACTCATTGAGATGCAGGTGCATCCAACTGAAGAGGCCTGAGTAGGACCAAACGACTGCCAATAACGTCAAAATGAAACCTGAGACATCCGTTTAAGAAGCTTATAGTGTCAAGCGGGAAAGAGAGATCACTTCGCATTAGCATGATAACCAAAGGAAAATTATACGCACCAATGCACCAACTAACAATCCTCTAGAAGTTCTCAATACTGAGAAGAGCAGCATTTGGTGTATGAATATACTTCTCGATTTTTTATGCAATCATAATGGGACTACGAAGGATGAAGCGATAAAAATTCAGTCCCAGTTTCTCGACACACCTTAAAAAGCTTACCGACCACAAAGCATCTGTATAACAAGTTCTATTCACATCTACTACCTACCAATGTAAATTATTTAGCTGTTTTAGTAGAAATACGCCTTAATCCTTCGTTCTTCGTGTTGCTTGTTTCTGTACGCTTACGCGTCCAATTTCTCTTTTCGCATACATAACTATTCGACTGACTCCAGAGGTCACCCTACCAACTACTGAAAAGGTCGATCACCTTTCATAAAGTTGGCTGAGCAGGTAGTTTTTCCAAAAACTAAAGAGAAGTAATTGGCCAACTCAATAGTTGTTGAGGTGACCATTAAAGTCGCTCTAACAATTCACTCGTTAGCGCTAGTTTCTAATGAATGTACCATCGTCAATGTTTATTGGTATTTGAACAATGCAAGAACAAAAACATTTGCAGTTTACAATATATTATGCTTAATGACACAGTCAAAAGTAGACAAATGCTCATCTCACGTCACCTCTAACTATGTAATATCAATTCACCTGTCCCTGTGGAAGCAAGTACATAGGACTGACCGAAAGAAGGACGTCAACTCAATATTATGAGCATATTCAAAGAGATCTGTATCTAAGTGGTAGCAACGTCTTTACCAGTGCAATCATCAGGCACCTGATGGAAGCAAAACATCAAATAGATGTTTCTCAATCTTTCAGGGTGTTCAATAAACAAAGAATGCCATGTTTATTACGCTTTGTGGACGCACTTGCAATTTTATCTGTGTACTCGAAAGGAGACTGTAATTAACCTTTCTTTACCTTGGTAACTGTATATAATTTTTGTATGTGTATGTATATAGTTTTCGCTTTCTTTTTGATTGCATCATCTCTTCATTAATTACTTACTGAATATTAATCACTGAACGATTTCCAAGTTTCTCATGTAATTACGTAACCTGCTAGCTCTTAAATAGTCCTTGCTTTTACAACCAAGACCATCCACCTGAGTTACAAATATTCTCCGGTTCAAAATCATACGAGGGTATAATACTGTCGAACAACTTGAGTATTGAAAAACCACAGCCTAATCAATAAATTTCGCCAGTCAGATCAGAGTGACGTAAACATCGGAGAACTGTTTCGCTCGTTCGGAGCCAATCCAGTTGATGAGCTCACCTGAATCTAGTTAGCTGGCTTTCCATGGAGCGATATAAGATGATCAATTAGCAAGTGATTTACATATTGCACGGTCCACATTGACATTTGTAGTGATATCTAACACATTATCTCATAGACTGTGTAGCAGAAACCGACGGCTCATTGCGATTGGAAGACGACGATTCAAAGCTTACCTGGATAAGCATCATAAAACCAAAGTTTTAGTCAAATAAGGGTATAAATATACTACATACATTACACACATCACATACATACATACATACATACATACATACATACATACATACATACATACATACATACATACATACATACATACATACATACATACATACATACATACATACATACATACATACATACATACATACATACATACATACATACATACATACATACATACATACATACATACATACATACATACATACACATATATTATTTACCAGACAAGCAAATACCAAGGACAAAAGGAAGGTAAATGAGCAGATGATAAATTCCTACTAGTGGTATAAAAAAGTGCTTTTCTGTCCGTTGTTACAAGATTTGAGTCAGGGTATTGAGGATTTTATCAACCCTTTACGAGTGACAATGTGTCATGATAGCTGCCTACCTGAAGTCTCCCAATCATGTCAACTTTTGGGAACATCTGATTTCGACTCTAGTCACTTAAAACACTTATCATCAACCCACTAACCTTGTTTTTATAGGATAAGGAAGTGCTGTTTGTCTAGGTGACCTCTTCATCACTCAGTTCCCGAAAATAGGAAAACAACGTTGTTAGAGATGCTATTCTTTCTTTTTTGGAAATCTAGCATTGATATTACACTGCAGCACGTTCAGCAAGGTGACTCTCTACCTTCACACATGAAGATAGCTAATTGCTTGAGACGAGAGTAATTTTCGCAAAGGATTCTCTTTAGTACATCATTTCACAGTAGCAAACTAACGAAGTAAACATACAACAGCAGCCACCGCATTTCAACACCAATTACTTCCGTTACCTAACCGTGATCGATTTAAAATGTGATCAACAGAAAGGTGAACGTGGTGATCATTTCAACAAAACTTTGGACAGATGCCTATCTTCAGCCTACACAATAACTAGACACATTATAGTCATGAGGAAATTTTCCCGTGGATGGATATGAAATTGCAACTAGCACAAAACTTCTCTGGAGGATGGAAATTCAAAGTTAACAATATGCCAGTGACAACAGTAAAGTTCTCGCACACTTTATTCAAATGTAATACATACTGCATGAGACGGTTGCAAGCCTTTGACCATAGGTGTCTTCGTAGCATTGCTCACGTTTAGTGGAACCACAATATCAACAATCTAGAGGTTAGGGGAAGGATATCAGAAAAGGCTATCGATGAAGTTGTGAACCTTCAGTGACTGGGATATGTGCTGTGCATGCCGAACCACCGAAAACCTCGAAATGCAATGCTAGGCCAGGTTGGATTACGTTAAAAGAAGGGCCAAGGTGACCAGGCTAAGATGTGGCACCAGTGTACCAAGTCTCTGACTGTTGATCTGAGACATATAAAGAGAGGTGGACCGTTTGGTTGCGTTCTCTGAGACGATAGGAATCACTGGTTGATTACTGTTGTTGATAATGGGTGGAAATTGGAGACAATAGTGCAGATGTATTTACTTTATGAATGACTTTGATACCACATATTCTATTCTATCCACCTGTTCTCTGAATTACACTGTAGAGTATGCTTTTGTTTGCTAGGTAGTTCTACGTTGATTTTGTTTGTCACGCATGTGTCAATCATGCCTACCTTAAATAATCCAGTTAAATGTAAAAAAAAATTAATGTACTACTAGGATAGTGTAATTTTAATACACCATAAGTATGTTCATATATAATGTATACGTGTATTCTTTGAGAAAATTCTAGCTCTATTTAGAATACAATGGCTAGCAAAATGTCTCACGCTCCAATGATTGAGAAAATGTCAGTTATTGTTTTCTTGCTTAACATAGAAAAATTAAGTCTATGATTAGCAATAAATGGTTACATGCAAGAAAAAAACAATATAATGTATGTAGCCTATAGATTTTAATCAAATTAGTTAAACTTTTACAGAATGTACCTTATGCATAGAGTATAGAAGGCGAAAGAATAGAATTTTGTGATATATATCACTGACTAAAAGTTCATCTTTGAAAGAAAAAGAGTCGAACTCATCGCGTAATAGTAACATCACATAAAACATTCAACTTATTTCCTATCCTTTAAGATCCATGTCATTGGTAGTGGAGATTACAATAATAATAATAACGATAATAATAATAATAGTGGTAATAATAACATTAATAATGGTAATGATAACAACAACAGTAATGATAATAATGATGATAACTATGCTAATGATGATGGTGATGATAAAGACGATGATAATAATAATGATAGTAATAATAATAATAACGACAATAATAATAGTGATGATAACGATAATGATAATACTTTTATTTTCCCATGATGGATTTAAGATGAGAGATATCGGTTTACAGGCATCATCAAATTAATAATTCTTGAAAGTGTACAAAATGATAGGTGGTATTGAATAATTTACACAATCACACTGAAACTTGCTGCAATTCATGAGACGGACATAAATTTACCATCTCCTAATATAAAGATGTCAAAGCCTGGATCGGAAAAGCAAGACAGGTCTTCCTTCACTAATTTTAAATCAGTGTAGAGATCTACTGCACTCACCATAAACAACAAGATTCGCATTTTCAACACTAATTTAGTCAAGTCAGTGCTTTTATATATGGTTCACAGACTTGGCGCGTTGCAAAAAGTATTTTCAACAAACTACACACACATCATCATCATCATCAACAGCTGCCGCCTACGCTCACTCCATACTGAAGATCAGATGGATGGCCAGAATAATAAGAATAAGCAACAAGGAACTCTGGCTGACTGGCTGGCTGGCAACGAACCAACCAACCAACGACCTACCACCCAACATATATACAGAAGAAGAAAGTCGAGATGGATTCAATTGGATTGAATATACACTGAGAAGACCGATTGGGGACATCACGCGTCAGGTCAGGCCATGCACTCGAGTGGAAGCCAAATGGGAAACGCTGAGTTGGGCGTCCGAGGTGAGGGTGACATGGAGGAGATCGAGTGAGGAAGAAATGAAAGGTTGTGGGCAGTCGTGGAGTCAGGTTCAAAAGATTGGAGAGAAGAGAGTGAAATGGAGACGTGCTACTGAAGCCCTATGTTCCACTAGGAACCCAATGGATAAATCATAAAAAATAATAATAATTGAGATAAAAAGTGCGGAATATAAGCAGTTTGCGTTATAACGACATTGTTAGTCCATACGCATAGTTTGTTACTTAGTAATAGGGCCGTGTATTTATTAGAAAATTCTTCAGCTTTTAGCTTAGCTAACCACAAAGGACCCATGTTATACGATCTGGAGTACCATTAAGTATCCAAGGTGAATATCTAAATCCATACATTTCAAGTTCACCGTGTTATATTTAAAGGTAATATAGGTTAATTGCACTAGGAATACTTGTTGTGGTGCATGAAAATAGATATTGGACGAGTAACCGATCAAATGAGAGTAATCATACGTAAACTTCAGGCACCTTTCGTATGAACGTAAGCAGCATCATTCGGTGAGTATATTTGCTTTATAGTGACTTCGATTTGTTGAGATCAACTGATACAGAGTACTAGAAAAGTCGTAGTGTAGAGCTATTGCAAGTAAATCACCTTCCCATATCCAGTTGTCAACCACTGGATAGTGAATCTGAATCCTCGTCCCCTGAACAGAAGGAAACCAGATGGTGTTTTAAGGTTTTACATATCGAATGCAATTGTACTACACATGTAGGCGATACAGTCCGAGTACTTAGTGAAGCATCTAAACAAAATACCATAGATTATTTAGAAAAAGAACAATTTGAGTGAACAATTGTTTTCAGTAACTTCTTCAGGCTCCACAGTTATAAATCCATGAGGATAACTGAAATACAATAGTCAAAATAAGGCATGATGTATATTTTTTTTTCTAAATTGAAATAGTCAGTGTTATGGGTGAGTGCAGATCAAATCGAATGGAATGGTGGAACTGTTATCAGTCTGGTGTGTTATTTGTGCAATGAAATCACTATTGACAGAACAATTCCGAAATGAGACAAATCTACAGATAATGATTCATTTATATACACTTATTGGGGCATGAATATGTGTGTGTTTGTTTACTAAGTCAAAAAGACATTGAACGCAGCGAAACGTTTTGTCAGCTTCTCAACCAAACCATTACTGACACAGTGAATTGAGGATAGGTTACCCATTATGGCCACTTCAATGTGCTTTCTGAGTTCAACTGGTGTTGTGGAGCTAGTTACATTGGTTGTACTCAAACGGCTCTATCCATGAGCGCTCGTGAACATGTACCATCTTGGTTAAGGAAAGGAATGACAAAGAGAATCAACAGTGCAGTCTTCTCACATCTAGTAGATAGTAAACATCAGATCAAGGTAGATTACGCCTTTTATGTGGTATATCGTGTTCCTATCAATCTCCCTAAAGATGCACGACTTCGCCGAAGCTATAGGTATCAACTCAATAAAACTGGACCTATATGTACATTCACTGTGTCTACCTTGGCCCACAATACATGGTCAACACATTCTTTATGCACTTTCCTATCACAAATTGCACATTTTCACTTCCAACCCCTTTCTTCTATATTGTCATTACATCGATAAACATTCATTCTCTTATCACTTATCACACTTCTTTATTCATACTATTAGTAGTAGTCATTTTCAGTCGTGAAATAACACTCCATATTTGTGTTATTCTCTATTTTGTTAAAGTTTTCACATGATTTTCACCTCATTTAAATATATAACCTATGGCTTAACCTGGGCTTAAGCTCAGAGGTCGATCAGTTCGGTCCACATTAGTCAACAAGTTCCAATATCACACTACAACCAGTGTAGAAGGAAGGACTATCATAACTCAGTAACCTAGTGGCTAACACTCTGGCGTTTGAAGCCCCTTAGTAGCAAAATGAAACGGATTTCATTTAATTCTTAGTTTGCAAAATATCATAGTTCAGTTAATTACTCTTCTATTATCACATTCTTTTCGCTTTCATCCGATAAATTACTGAAACTATTAATTAAAACCTGAGTATATGGATTTATGTTAAAAGTTTCAATTGTTATTCAACACAGAAAATCAATTCATCACTGAAAACTACATTTATTTCTCTTCTTTATCAATCTCATTTACACAAAGTGCTTAGAATTTTGTTCATCTAATAATTAAAATAATTATTTAGCGCTTATTCTACTCCTCTATCCTGATGGTAACGATAAATACGACTCATACTATTCAAAGTTAATGCTATGAAAATGAGATATACTTCTATTGGTTACATAACTATCTAGCAAACAACTTGCATAGACATAAGATGTTACTTGTATTATCCTACTGCTAATTGGAGCGAATTGATCGGTCTGTGTTGCCATATGGGCTCCTGCGTGGATGCCTTGATATTGCCTGTCTTTTCAGTTTATCATGGATAGTGGCTACCAGTAGCATACAGCTTGATGCTCGTTTCCTCCAATTTGGAACTCGTCAGCTGGATGTACGTGCCCCTCGGTGAGCGATGTTGTTCCCACTAACATTCGTACTCAGTACCGAGTGCTTCAAACACCAGAGCGTTATTCACAGTCTAGCAGTTCACTTTGTCCTACTGTATAGCTGTTAAGCATAATCATTAAACTTGAAGAATATGAGAAGCCTCTAAGTATACTACCACTCACCTTAATAGCATCGTTTTTATGCTTTGGAATCACTACTTTAGTAATGTAGAGGTTAGCTGTAAAATCTTCGACAAAAGAGTTAAGATAGTCAAGTAGGTTGGAAGTCTTTGTCGACCTAAGTGCCTAACATATGTCTTACGCGTACCAAATAAACATCTACCTTATCACACCATGTCAAACGAAGTAGTTTCAAGCTGGAAAAAGGTTAAACGGGACCAGATTAAAATGTGGCATCAATCTATGAAGTTTTTGTGTGTTTGTCTGAACCGTGTGGGGGGATGTAGACGTCCATGATGGGGTCCACCTAATAACTTAAATCGGTACCTCAGGGTGTAGCAACTTCGACTGGTATGTCGTATGTTGATACTGACTTTACTGACTAGTAAGAAATTGTCAAGAATAGGTGAATTCGCCTCGTTCGTTTTTTCTTTATCCAATGAAATTGTGGTAATATTGTTAACTAGCTTAACTGAAACAGCTTCGCTGAGTGCATTTCACATTATTCATGATAATTGCTGATGTAAAACTTAGCTTGTGACTGCAATCTAACCGTTGGATCTAACCATTTACCAGTGTGGTTAGTACCTTACCAGGTGAACAATCGATTTTCCCCCTTTGGGTTATAAGTTCAAACTCCGCCTCCCCTCCTAAAGTTTAAACATTCAGATAGTATCACTAATCCTTACATAATAGACGTAGTTCATTGCTTACTGTGCGATTGTGTATGTGGTTGTATAATGTCTTTGGTTATCATGTGAACCAGTCTGGGAAAACAAGCTATTTCTCCCGATCTCCCCTTGTCAATCCGTGTTAATCATAGTTGAATAGGAGGAGCAGTTTACTAATCAATCAACAATGTGAAATAATTTTCATTGAAACATGGATGTTCTGATATATATAAGTTCTGATGAGAAGTCATGACCGGGGAGTGAACCATATCGGATGTGAGGACAGGTACTCAAACGATGTTAATGGATAAAGGTTGCACTATCTCGCGAATTCGAAAGTCTTCAGTTCCGTCCCTGACAGCGTCACGGCTGAATACTGCTGAGGAGTCCCACACGGCTGTCCAGTGTTCTCAGGTTTTCAATGGTTCCCCTAAAAGAAGGGAACAAAAAGTTTTTATTCTACCAATCTATAGGCTTGACTCCTTTTTTGCGTTTAAATATTGGTGATCTATGACATCGATTGCTTTTAGAATGATCAATTGAGAATTTCAGTGAACACTTTACCTAAAGCAGCTGAATATTTTCAGATGAAATGTGATAATTAAAATCTCAATAAAATGAAAAGTTACGAAATAGTTTTCTTGAGTGAGTAAATCCTTCAGTCTCCTTTATGGAGGTGTGCAGGCGTACAGTTTCAAGCTGTAGCAGAAGATAGATGAGTGAGTATATCAAATCTTTGCAAGGCAGATGAGCTGGAAAATAAGCATTTGAATAGTTGAATAAAAACACAACTTGTCTTTTAGGCTTTCAGAAAGTAGACGTCATTTCAAGATGAATGCTATGAAAGATAATACAAAACGGAAGTCTTATTTTTTGATACTTGTGAGCTTTGGTCAAGATAATGACTTTCAAATCGCCTTCGAGGTTCAGGTTCAGGTTCAGGTGAGGTATCTTCTTCTACGCAGAATACAGACTTCATTCGGGCATTCTGTTATCGGAATGCTTTCGATCGAAAAGGTCAGTTAGAAGAAAGAAAATGTCACTTTCTAATTAACTCATCGTTTCGGTTTTACATTAACGCATAGGGTTTGATGATTACCAATATTAAAATACTAATCTAGGGGTAGGTAATAGGTTATCTAACGGTAGTGACAAACTTCAGACTATTCGAAAGGATTTCTCAAGTTGGTATTCATCATGGTTTGACATCAGTTGGAGGAACATTGGACAGCTGTTTCGTCCAACTAGTACGGGACTCTTGAGCAGTGGGCACCCGTGGCTGCAGCCCACCCCCCCCCACAGGGATCAAACCCAGGACCTTCAGGTTCCGTGGTCAGCACGTTACCATTGAACCACGGGGTTGGAATTCAATGATCTATATTTCCAAGTTAATTAGAGAAATCACTATGTTTTTAATAAGGATTGTAAAACAAAGTGAAACATGTTGTTATTCTATCGTATGACAAACCACGAGCTTCGTCAGTTTATCGATTATCGATAATAATAAAGTGAGAATGCGAAAACAGAGGAAACTAAGGGAACAGAACAAGTGAGTTGAACAGAATAACAAGGGAGCCAGTTGTGCATAGTTCAAGTTGGCTGGTAGACAGATAGACAAAATCAACGTAGAACCACCTAGCACCCAAGTACATTGGCTCAACTTGCCATACTTCACAGCAGAATTCAGGAAACAAGTGGATGGAAAGAAACTGATATCAAATTAGAAAAAGTTGTGTGAGAGAATGAACAATTTGACGATAACGGTCAGAGAAAATATGCAAGTTTTAGATGTTAAAGAGTGACCAATTTTCAACCATGTCACCAACAGTCCTCAACTACTGATTCCTCTTTTTTCAAGGACCCCGGCCAGGCAGCCTACATCTCCCTACACGACCCATACCAACAGTCAGGGACTTCATCGACTAATGTCACATCTTAGTTTGACCACCTTGAACTCTCAAACTAATCCTTTAAGTTGATTTGGAAAAGTGTAAAGTGAAAGGGTAGAAAATGTTGATGACCATAGGTATAACAACCTCGCCTGGTTAACTAGTTTACTAGTTACTAGCCGGTCCTAAGCCCGGGTAAAGAGGGAAGGTTGGACATAGGGCTAGCAACCCTACCCCGTAAAACAAATCTAACCGCTAAAGAAACTTCAAAGCACAAACAAAATATAAAAAATGAAAACAAACTTATACCCCGCTGGAATCGGAGAGGCGAAATGACGCCAGTTGGTGAAAGCCTGCCTTCGGGAAGCCAATTGGCCGATGTGTCTTCTCTCGATGAAAGCGAAAGTAAACGTGGGGACATGGAATGTCCGCACCATGTTTGAACCCAGTAAGGCAGCCCAGATTGCAAAGGAGATGAGAAGGTATAACATCGAAGTGCTTGGGATTTGCGAAAGCAGATGGAATGGGAGTGGACTCTCCAAACTGTCAACTGGAGAATCAATAATCTACTCCGGTCACCCAGACGCCAACCACGAGCACACTGAGGGAGTGGCTATCATGATGTCCTCAAGAGCACCGAAGGCTCTCATGCAGCGGGAACCAATCTCCTCCAGGATCATGACAGCAAGATTCAACTCAAAAGGAAGAAAGGTCACAATCATACAATGTTATACACCTACAAATAATGCAGAGCAAGAGAAAAAGGAGGATTTCTACAGACAACTTCAATCAACACTGGACAAGACGTCAGTTGGCGATATCAAAATTCTGATGGGCGACATGAATGCCAAACTTGGAGAGGACAACACGGGAAGAGAACTAACCATGGGTCGAGAAGCGCTAGGTGAAATGAATGAGAATGGAGAATTGTTTGCAGAATTCTGTGCATTCAACGATTTGGTGATTGGAGGCAGTGTGTTCAGGCACAAGATATCCACAAAGCGACATGGATTTCACCAGATGGACACACTAAAAATCAAATCGACTTTATCTCAATCTCAAGAAAATGGAGACGCAGTCTACTTAACACAAGATCAAGGAGAGGAGCAGATGTAGGCTCAGACCACTATCTAGTGCAAGGAACCTTCCAAATCAAGTTAAAAGCCTTCAAGGAAGCTGGTGATAGACCTCAATTCAAGTACAACACTCGGAAACTGAAGGATGAAACTACAAAGGAGATCTTCAAGGCAGCCATCAAGACAAAATGGGAGACATCGAGGAACATCCCTGAAGAAACCTGTGTGGAAGAACACTGGAAGTCTTTGAAAGCTATGTGGAAAGAAACCTGCACAACCGTATTAGGAAGGAAGAAGAAAGAAGACAAGGAATGGATCTCGACGGATACCTGGAAGCTGATAGAGGAGAGGAGGATGGTGAAACAGAAGATAAA